GATTTAAATAGAACAGCAAATGGCTGGATAAGAATGAGATTTCCTGACGAATTTGGTGAAATACAGCAAATTACTTGGAAATCTATCTATCTATCTATCTATCTGTCTGTCTGTCTGTCTGTCTGTCTATCTATCTATCTCTCACGCAGTATTTTTGTTATACAGTGCTTGAGAATTTGGTCACCATCAAGAAAAAAGGTACTATTGATTTTTTTTTACACACCTCATATGAGGATAAACAGCCAGAAAAATAAACCGCAGAGAACAAGGAAGCCTGGAAAAAAGGAAATGTGTGATGACTAAAAACATCTGAGCTTCACAGTCGTAGGTGTTCTTGTTTGCATATACAATATCTCTCACCTCATTTTCCACTCATATATCTCCCTTTTTCTCTGTAGCAAGGTCTCCAGGGAGAGGGAGGTGTGTGTGTGTATGTGGGTATATGTTCGCCTGTTTGAGGTGGGCCAGGTGTTCACCGGCCTCATGGGTCTGTGGCCCTCAGTCTTTTAAAAGTGCTGTGGGATGCAACCCTGCTGTGCTGCACCAATTCAAGCTGCTTAAACCTTGCCAAAAACACAAACCTGTCAATGAAACAACACACTGCTATAATCAAATATTAATTTTTATTGGCAGAACCCATTTGCGGCAATGCTTATGAGTGAACAATCGAAATACATTATTTATATGATGCTACAGACGTCTGTATCTTGCTTGTTCCCTTTCAAGGGAACTTCGAACTGCGTCCTCTAGGGGTCGCTATGGGGAACGCCTCGTCGTGACCCGTGTCTGAAGCATACATTGAAAAAACACCAACAACACGTTGGCCGGCGACAGCCCATGACATCACTACCGGTGCGATTATAGTATAAATAGGCGCTGGGAGAACATGTCATTCTCTTCTTCGTCTTCACTGACCGTTTTGTTTGAAGCGTGCATTTCCGTGGTAAGAGCGATCTATATTCCTGTCGTTATGGCGAGCACTAGCAAAGCGTTTAGAGGGTGTGTGCATCCGCGTCGTCGTTATTTGACACCTGATGACACACACGATCTCTGCGTTGTTTGTTTGGGCAAAGAGCACGCACGCGATGTCCTTGAGGGGGCAATCCGCGTTCATTGCGAGCGTATTTTAGTGAAAAGCTCCGCTCTCGTTTGTCTCTCTTTTCGAGGAAAGGGGGGCAGCCATCTGCTTCCCGCGGCTCAGGACCCACCGCTGCTGAGGCACGGAGGAGGATGGGCTTGTGGGGATCGCAGGTGGATCCGGCTGATGAGTTTAAAAAGGGGTTTTCTCTCTCGCGCTCGTCGGCTGTGGACGAGAGTAAGCTGCTGGAGGATGATGTTATTTCTTTAACATCGTTTGATCCGGGGGCCGGTGCTCTGCTGGGTTCGGCCTGGTAAGAGCAGGAGATATCTGAGGACGGGGAAGAAGCTGAGGCTGAGCCTTCCCAATCCTCCTGCTCTGCGTATGTATTGAGAGACATCTGTGGGTGAACCTGGCAGATATCGGGATGGAAGAGAGGGGCTTTCTTCTCGATGCGCCGGTTTCGCCTTCAGAATATTTTTGGTTACCTCCGTTGAGATGGTGGTCGAGACGTTCAGGGAGGCAAAGGCGCGCTCAGCGGCCTTCAGTCCTTCATTTCACGATGGTCCAGGTCTAAGCCCGAACAGCATAGGGGTCCTGGTCCGTCTCGGTCTAAGGATCAGAGACGGGCACAGAAGGCTAGTGTCGCGGCTTGCGCTCCTCCTCCGGTAGGGGTAGGAGAAATCGCGGGTCAAAGGGAGGTAGGCAAGACCTAGGGATGAGATCCAGACAAGGCATCAGCGCTTTCGTCCGGATCAGAGTGATACTTGAGTATCTACTCGTTTCCTTCGGGGGTCTTACATCTGCCCTTAGCTCCTAATCCCCCTATAACCACCAGCACTCCACCTGACCAAGGTTAGGTAGGAATTTCCTGCATTACAGTCTCCTATGCTGGACCTATGATGTTTTTGGATTCCCCTATAACCACCAGCTCTCCACCTGACCGAGGTTAGGTAGGAATTTTCCTGCATTTCCGTCTCCTATGCTGGACCAATATGTTTGGTTGGTTCTATGGCTTCATAGTGACCACCTTGCTGATGGTCTGGACTAGAGGCTTCTTTGAGTCGCCTCTTGAACGGGGCTCCGGCGCAGGAACCATGGTGGGTGTGTGTATAAACCTTCTGTGAGATTTTTTTGCAGCGTTTTCTGGGACCTGTGTGTTTCTGTCCTTTTTAAGGTAGGTCCTCTGTGAGCGATTCCAAGCCTTGAGCTCTACCCCAGGCCCAGGAGTCTGGCCCTAACAGGTAAGTTTGGGTATGTAGCCTAGGCCTTTGGCCATAGGGGATAAAGTCACGGACAGTCATCTGACGTCCCAGGGGCAACTCACCATGAAAATGGTAGAGTTGGTACTTAGTGCTCGCCATGGTTCTGGCCCGCACTCCCCTCAGCATGGCGGCGTGGGTATACCGTTCCCCATAGCACCCCCTAGAGGACGCAGTTCAAA